TGCCCTCAGGAACCTAAAGCAGATGATGATCCAGTCGTGGTCCTGAGGTCTCTGGAAACCCGTTCTCTTGGCACTGATCCATTGGTAACATCCTCCAGCAGGTCCAAAGCTGCCGTTGTTGTTAACGGGATCTTCTGCACCGTTTTATATAAACTTTTATATCTGCTCATCTGATTGCAAACACCTGGATGTGTTCATTCATCTGTGTGTCTCTGATGAACACATCACTTTGAGCAATGACCTTTTTTTACATTGACAGTTTCCCAGCATCACCTCTAGGTGTCGCCAAGCAGTAGAAACGTGCGTACGTCTGTCAAGAAGTTGGCGTGGAGGACCGCACATTTCCACCATCGTTTCACTCGTGATGCATCTGAACGTGAGCGTGGAAAAGTGCGAACGCCAAGTCTTTGTGAATGAGGCCCCGGAGTCTGAACGAGTCGACGGACGCTTTCAGGCTGAACCTGCTGCTGTTTGATCTGAAGGGTCGACAGGCACAAATCTCCACAGTTGGTCAATTCATGGTTCACCTGAGTTCAACACCAACACTGTGTTCACCTGGCCGGGGTCACGAGGCACAGCTGGAGGTTGGGAGGGGGGAGGTGGGTGATAAAGGAGGACAGGTGAGACACACCTCTGATGTTACTTTGAACTGAAGCTGAGGAGGTTTTATTTTGTCAAACACCTGAAGCCTCGACTGTCTGCTCAAGATGAAGACAGCGTGTGTCTCCGCTGTTGTTGTGTCATTTTGTGTCTCTTTGTGGTGATTTTCTTTTGCTTTGTGTCTTTTTGTTGTTGTTTTGTGTCTTTTTTCGTGTCTCTCTGTGGTCTTTTTGCATCTTTTCTTGTGTAGTTTAGTGTCTCTGCGTGTCCACGTGGTCGTTGTGTTCTGTCCTGTGTTGTCTGAGCTGTGACCAACTGCGGGTTCAAAGGTTTCAGCTGCAATCAGGTCACAGTTTGTGAGTGTGTTGGGAAACAATAAAAAGTCCGCAGCAGCAGCTATAAAAGCTGAGAGTGGAATAAACAGGATCAAAGAGCAGATCTGAACATGAGGACGCTCGTCTGTCTACTGGGTGAGACGCTGATTCAAACATGTTCCGACAGGATTTCACCTTCACAGTTTGTATAAATGAGTGTGTTTGTGTGTTTGTTGTGAGCAGCGAACAACCCGATACAGACGGATGATATCCAGGATCCTAATTCTGATTCTGAAATGATTCCGGTTCATTAATGTCATGAATACTGATGTCGATCTCAGTCTTAACTTCAGAGTCTTGGAATGATTCAGCTTCATTTAAAGGTTTTTTTGTAACACTTAGTTTTTCTCATGTTCCTGGTTGTATCTGCTCACGATCACATGACCTACTGCAGCTCCATCACTGTGTGTGTTTGTGTGTCTGCAGCTGTGTTGTGGGTTTGTGACGGCGTGAAGTTCGGTCCGTTGTGTGACGGAAACCCGAACAACAACCGAAGGA